TCTCCTTCCTTCTTTCCTTCTTCCTTCCTTCCATCTTTTCTTCTCCTCCCTCCCTCCCTCCCTCTCCTTTGGCCAACCTCCATTTAGCCCAGCATGTTGTGTGAATTCAGCGCCCCCCCCTTCCTGCTTCAAGGGGCTCCCCAAATCCAGATTCCCCGAGAAGAAAACAGGGTGAATTGAAGAGTGAAGCGCCCCCTGAGATTTAGAAAACAGAATAACAGTTTTTGGAAGGGACCTTGGAGGTCTTCTAGTCCAACCCCCTGCTCCGGCAGAAGACCCTCTACTATTTTAAGTAAGAGCATAACAGATTTGGAAGGGACCTTGGAGGTCATCTACTCCGACCCACTCCTTGAGCAGGAGGCCCTATGCCACGCCAGACAAATGGTCGTCCAATCTCTTCTTGAAAAGCTGCAGTGATGGAGCATCCACAACTTCTGGTGGCAAGTCGTTCCACTGATTGTTCTGTCAGGAAATTCCTCCTTACTTCCAGGTTGCATCTCTCCTGATTAGTTTTCATCCGTTGCTTCTTGTCCTGCCTTCAGGTGCTTTGGATAATAGATTTACCCCCCCTTCTTTGTGGCAGCCCCTCAAATATTGGAATACTGGTATCATGTCAACTCTTAGTCTTTCTCTTCCATACCCAAATCCTACAAATTCCCTTCATATGTTTTAGCCAGAGGTGGTATTCAGCCGGTTCTGACCAGTTCTGGAGAACCGGTAGCAGAAATTTTGAGTAGTTCGGAGAACCGGAAAATCCCACCTCTGACTGGCCCCACCAATCCCAACTCTTCTCTGCCTCTCATTGAGTTCCAGTTGATCGGCTGCGTCTTCTTTGGTTGCCCTGCACAGGAGAACGGAGCAGGAAAGCAGGTTAGGGGGGTGGGGAGGGAAGGGGGATTTTGCAGCCTTCACCTGCCACACACCCCAAGCCATGCTGTTAGGAATGATAGTCACCTAACAGTTGGGTTGGCAATATATAAACCAGGATAGTAATTTAATACTGTTGTATCTTTAAAAGAATGTTGTAATTGTGATTGGCTGAGGTTCCTCCAACGGCCATAAGATGGAGCCAGAAAGCTGGTTTGTTCTTTTTGCATTTCCTTTGCTTCCCTTTTGCCTTTTGCCTGATCATCATGCTGCTTGAATTGCCGTGAGTCTTGCAACTGTTCGCAAACTCCATTTACTGAATTTTGTTTATGATACTGGTAAAGAAACGGACTTCGTTTTTGGATTATCCCTGGACTGATTGTTTTGAATACTGACTGCTTTAACCGTGTATGATTTGGACTGTTTGTTGGACTTTGTTTACCCATTTACTGGAAGTAAAACTTACATTTTACTATTCAGTGTATCTGCGTGCTGGTTGTGTGTTATTCATCACCACTCTCATTATGTTTCCCTGAGTGCACTCATTCTCCTAACAGGGAATACCTCAACACATGCCCCCCCAAGTCCCCAAGCCATGCCTACCAAGCCCACCAAGCCACGCCCACAGAACTGGTAGTAAAAATTTTTGAATCCCACCACTGCAACGTGGGCCAGATTAATGGCTTCCTAGTTTGAGGACCCCTGACCTAGGCAGAAGAGAGAGGAAGGAGGAGAAGGGCTCCCTGGCTCACCTTTGATCTGCTGAAGGCACCTGCCCATGGGATCCAGCGCAGGGTCAGGAGCAGCCTGTTCTCCGCTGTTCAGGAACGCGAAGTCTTCCTGGTGGAGTCCCAACCTGGGCAGTAGCGCCAGGCTGATCCGCTTCAGCTTCTTGTTCTCCTGGCTCACCTGTGGAAGTCAAAGAGGAGAGGGCAAGGGCAGAGGGACCTCTGCACAGAAGGTCCCGCACCTGGTCCTCGGGTGGAGGGACCCCTCCTCACCTGGAGGGCAAAGGCCTCTGCCTGTTCTCGGCAGCTCTTCTCAATCGCATACTCCGTTTCCATGCTGGACAACTCGGCTAAGAGGGTTTGAGAAGCTGGGGGTGGGAAGAGCGAGAGAAGGGGGTTAGAGCAAGGGTCCCCAAACTGGGAACCCTCATCAGGGGTGCCCACAGAAGTTGGCCCCCCAAATGCCAGGAGGATGGTTTTGATGGTGCAGCCGAAGCCCTGCCTGTTTCCGCGCCACCACCCATATTTCCTCCTCTGAGAACACCCTAAATTTAGGCCATTTCAAAAGAGGCGTTTTGAACTACTTAATGGCCAAAGGGGGTGATTTCAGAGGTGGAATTCTACCGGTTCGTAACCGGTTGTTACGATTCTGCACAGTTTGGAGAACCGGCAAATTGTGCCACTCGCTGGCCCCGCCTTGCCCTGCCCACCTTGCCCAATCATTCATTATCTTGCATGTACACCTTCCAACTTGCCTGCATTGTGCCTTTGCCTAATTTTTGGTATGTTGCTATTTTTCCTTTATTTTTCCTCCGACGATCAGCTGTTCCGACTATCAGCCCTGCCGTGCGATTTAGATTAGCTGGAAAGCAGGAAATCCTCTGATTTCTTGCTTTCTAGCTAATCTAAATTGCTGATGTACTGGTTTGCCTTCGCCCAGGAGGCTTCCCTGAGGCCCAGTCAGGGCTGGTATTCAGGGGGTTGGGGAGGGGGAGAAGTGGCCTGAGACCAGAGCTGAACCTTCCTTAGGACTGAAGCTCCTATTTGTCAGTGCAGACTCAGGCAGCAGATTGAAGAAAGGTAGATCTGTGAGTGATTCTGTGATTCTGCAAGCATCTCAAATCTGCCTGCCTGCTTTGCCTCGTTTTGGGTAAAAGTGGCTCTTTTTTTTAAATAAAAAAAATCAATATTTATATAAATATTTACAATATTTACATACAAGCTAGGCCAGCCAGTCACGTGACCACCAAGCCACGCCCAGTCAGTAAGCCACACCCACTCCGTCACATGTCCACCAGGCCACACCCACAAATTAGGCCATGCCCACAGAACCGGTTGTTAAGAAATTTGAATTCCACCCCTGGGTGATTTGGGTTGCCTTATCTGGACTGCCCTCTCTTAGGTGGTCACCTGAGACCCAGAACCTCTTAACTGGAAACAAAATCAATGTTTTTTTATTTTTTAATCACTTCAAAATAACAGAGTTGGAAGGGACCGTGGAGGTCTTCTCATCCAACCCCTTGCTCAGGCCGAAACCCTCTACCACCTCAGGAAAATGACTGTCTGGTCTCTTCTTAAAAACCTCCAGTGATGGAGCACCCAGAGCCTCTGCTAGCAAGCTGTTCCACTGGTTAATTGTCCTCACTGTCAGAAAACTTCTTTCATTCCAGGTTGCTTCTCTCCTTGATTAGTTTCCACCGTTTGCTCCTTGTCCTGTCTTCAGGTGCTTTGGAGAATAGCTTGACTCCCTCTTCTTTGGGGCAGCCCTTCAAATATTGGAAGACTGCTCTTAGGTCTCCCCTGGCCCTTCTTTTCATTAAATTAGACCTACCCAACTTTGTATTCATGTAGGGTTTCCTGCCTAAGCAGGGGATTGGACTAGAAGACCTCCAAGGTCCATTTCAAATTATTTGTTCTATTGGAGGGGTCTTCAAACTCGACAGCTTTAAGACTTGTGGACTTCAACTCCCAGAATTCTTCCACCAGTCATGTTTGTTCAGGAATTCTGGGAGTTGAAGTCCACAAGTCTTAAAGTTGCCAAGTTTGAGACCTTTGTTCTATTCTCCTCAGCTCTGCTCTGCTCTATTCTACTCTACTCTACTTGACTCGACTCGACTCGACTCTATTCTATTCTACTCTACTCTACTCTATTCTTTACTCTACTCTATTCTATTCTTTCTGTATTCTATTCTACTCTAGTCTCAGTGGTGGGATTCAATTTTTTTTATCACCAGTTCTGTGGGTGTGGCTTAGTGGGTGTGGCAGGGGAAGGATACTGTAAAATCTTCAGTCAGAGGTGGTATTTGCCGGTTCTCCAAACTACTCAAAATTTCCACTACTGGTTCTCCAGAACCGGTCAGAACCTGCTGAATACCACCTCTGTCTACTCTATTCTATTATTTCTCCTATTCCTATTCCTATTCCTATTCTATTCTATTCTATTCTATTCTATTCTATTCTATTCTATTCTATTCTATTCTATTCTATTCTATTCTATTCTATTCTATTCTATTCTACTCTACTCTACTCTACTCTACTCTACTCTACTCTACTCTACTCTATTCGTCACAGGGCTGGATTTTTAGATTGGGACCCATTTCTTTTGAACTGCTCATTTCTCCTACACCTGCACCCACAGATTTGTCTTCTTTCAACCCCAAAACCTGATTCAAGACCCTTGTATGTCTTAGAGAAGCAGAAAAGGCAAGCCCCCCTCACCCTGCATCTCCATGTAGACCAGAGGTCTCCAAACTTGGCAACTTTAAGGCTTGTGGACTTCAAACTCCCAGAATTCTGTGCTGGCTGGAGAATTCTGGGAGTTGTGGTCCACAAGTCTTAAAGTTGCCAAGTTTGGGGACCTCTGGCATAGACGTACCTTTCTCAATTTCTGCTATCTTTTCTTTGGTTTCCGCCATTTGCTTGGAAAGATCCATCTCCTGCAAAAATGAACCAAACTTCACATTGGTTTTGCTCCTGTATTGATTTAAAAACAAAAAAAGCGAAACAAAAAAAAACCCCACCCAGCTCCTTTTTAAATTCTGGGAGTCAAGCTCCACAAGTCTTCAAGTTGCCAAGTTGGGAGACCCCTGGCCTCGAGGAGGGGAAGTGAGGGAGTGGTGGATTTGAATTATCCCCCCAAAGAAGCCAGATTAGGTCACGCTAAAGATGGAAGATGGAACCAGGGTGGCAGCTGCAGGAGAGCCACCTACCTGCTCATCGCCATCTTCCTCCGAATTTGAATCGCTCTCCGATTCCCAAATGACTGCAGGAAAATACAAAGAAAGTTTAGTCCAAAGAGAGCTGGAAGGGATCCTGGAGGTCTTCTAGTCCAGCCCCCTGCTCAAGCAGGAGACCCTACACCATTTCAGACAGGTGGATGTCCAATTCTCTTCTTCAAAACCTCCAGTGTTGAAGCATCCACGACTTCTGGTGGCAAAGCTGTTCCATTAGAAGGCAGGATCCCCAAGGTCGGGTGGTCAAAATCCAGATGATTGACAACTGACTTTGCAACCTTCTGACAAGCAAAGTCAATGGGGAAGCCAGATTCACTTAACAACCATTGGAAAGCAAATAATCCAGCTCAGCAAACAGCAAGGACCCCACAGTCCTTTTTCTCCTTTTTCTCCTCTTCCCCCCCCCCCCAATTCCTCCTCTTTTCAAATGCCACTACCTTCTGGTGCTGATGATGTACCCTAGTTGGGTCATAAAATGTCTGCAAGAAAACCACCAAGCTCAGAGAAAACTCAGGATCCCCACAGTCCTCCTCCTCTTCTCCTCCTCCTCCTCTTCCTCCTTCTCCTCCTCCTCCTCCTCCT